CAATAAAAAAATTATCACTAATTGCCTTATGAGTGATCAAGAGGGCGGTGTCGGCTTCTGGCGGTTCAGCCTCAAATGTTTGACAAGAGAGAGATTTTGGAAACGCAAAATTGTAGTTTTTTTTTTGAGCAAAACACAAAATTGTAGGTGGGATACCAATGAGGAGTCGAGGACCCTGCTCCGGATAATCATGAATTCATGATGGGCCCTCTTTCATTTGAGTTATTTGGTTTCGGCCATCATGGGCCAGGCCCTTTGAACCCACCTCCTATATGCAACAACAAAATCCTCAGAGGAAGCAGATGCAGTGCTGAACATTCCTCCTGCTACTCCAACAGCCGCCTTGCCAAAAGGTGCAGTTTTTTTAGGTTCAATAGAGCTCAGTCAGAAACAAAGGTTAAGCTTGATGTTATGTTTCAATGGAGCACAGGTAGAAGAAACAAGTCCAGATTTATGTTCTGCAAGATGAGCTTGCAGCTCAACCCATAGCAAATCTAACGCTGTTTGATCTGAATCTTGTAGCTCAAGCTCAACTTCAAGATATGAAAGTTGTTCTGGAAATCTTGTAGCTCCTTTGCAGCCTCAAGCAGCCTAAGAAATTGTTTAAGATAATCAAGTTGTCCAACATAAACCTGTGCAGGGTGAGGGCTTCCTGGAGCACAATGTTATCATTCATCAAGCTGGGAATAAATAGGCAAATCAGCAACCTATGTTTTTTTTTGGGACAACAAACGGATTTTATTTCAACAGCATGAAGCTGTTAGCACCATTACAGAGTCCAGAAGTGCATATTGCAGTGCATCTCTCAACATGCACTGATAATTGGCCTGATTCTACGTGTTGGTAGATGAAGCCGGGTATGAACTATCCTTTATCTAAAAAAAAAAATGCACTGATTTACATGTGCTGAGTGTGAACAAGTACATGAGAAATTTGGAGGAGTGTCCTGCGTAAGCTGGAGTGCCTGTCTTGCCAGCGTGTCCGCAGTTTGATTTTGACTCCTTCGTATCTTGAAGGTTCTTGTACTTCTGTGCTGGGTGTAGTTGATGAACACCTGAGTCAGGTCAAGCTCCAGTCCAGTGGGTTGGACTGATCTGCAGAGTTGAAGAAATTCACCAGCTCCTGACTGTTCGTCAGGAAATTAGTGTGTTGTAGTTGCAGCCGATCTGATACGGCTGCAGCCAGGGCCATGGCTGCTGCTTCAGCCATAATGACTGATGTAGATCACAAATGTCTGCCTTGATGTAAATATTTTGTGGTAGATGCACCTGTGTATTAATTATAAAAATTCCCAGACCAGCTCTCTTCAAAGACAGAGGCGCTGTCTGATAAAGCAGAGTGGATGCGTCGGTATAGCATTGGGAGCCTGGTAACAGTGCTTACTGATGTGGGTTGAGTACCTTCCAGCTCTTTCTCCCGTCGCAAGAGCTCTTCTAATGAAGTAATGAGTCGCCCGACAAAAGTTTTGATGATGGGCAGTAAGCAACCTATGGTTGGGATGGAGGATAATGCTCAATCTGATTCCTCCATCACAATATCAGAGGCGATCTACAAAATTCTATTTATTAGTATATTCTTCTAATAGGATGTGATTTCACATTCCATAAAATCAAAATGATTAAAAAAACATTGGAGTGATCAGACCATTTTTTTGAGTCTGGGTCGGGGGCTTTTTGCTGCAACCATACCAACACACGCCAATACTTTTTCTTTGTGAGACCAACATGATCGTATGGAATACGTTCTACTTCAGAAAAAAAAAATCTATCTGGACTAGTAGCAATTCAAGCCGAATAAAGCTCAAGCACAGTGCACAGATGCTGATGCATGTGGTGGTTAGATACTTAGATCAATGTAAAAATTGTAGTGGGTTCCTGAAAAAAAAATGAACCTGGGGCAATCAAGGGACAGCAAGCTCTGCTTTCAAGAATCTAGGATGACAAAACAGCGCCTGGAAGCAAGCAAACTTACAGGCAGGCAATACATATGCTACACAGGGTACAATCTACCGCCGTGGCTCCACAGTCCAAAGTAGCCCAAAATTTTAGATACCAATGCTAAGTCTGTTTGAGAAATAAATCGCAGAAAAAAACTGTTGTTTGAGCAACAAATACGAATAGCAGCTTCTTTGATCCAGTCGATTCAGATGAAGACCCTGACTCTGCTGGATCCACCTTCTGCCCCCTTAGCTTAGCAACCGAGGAATGAGCCCATGCCTTGTGGCTGTGACAGAATTGATACCGGTAAGAAGCAAGCTGCTGATGTTTTTTTTTCTTCAGAAAAATAAAATATTTTTTTTGAATAAATCTGGTAGGAGCACTGTCTCTCAATTAAGGAAGCAAAGAGAGTTTATGTATAGAAAGTGCCATCGGCACAATAACCCCCAGAGGGCACACAGAGTAAAGTAAAGCACACAGCACACACGTCCTTGGGGATATATACAAGGTCTAAGTTAGGATGTTGAAGACCCTAGAGCATAGGTCGACGTCTTCTTTGGTTTTGGAGGCTACCTGTCGGACATCCATCACCAAATTTTAGAAAATCCTTCTGTTTATTTCCTTCCAAATGTTCCACATTGTGTAGATGACCACCCCATTGAAGTGTCTATGTCTCTACCTTGGAATGTTGGCCGTCCCCTCTTCCCACCACGCCCTTATGCTAGATGGCTGTACCTAAGGCCGAATTAAGTCCACATCGAAGTGTTCCCACCCCAGCACAAGGCGCCAGACTTCTATGGCCAGGGGGCACAACAGGCACAAGTGAAGGGCCGTTTCCAATGGTCCATTGTACAGCACGCAATGGTCTTGGTGTGGCTAATTTCTTAGTTGCAAGTTGTCTGCCGTTAGGATCTTGTTTTGTATGAGAATCCAAGTGAAGACTTCGCATTTATTTTCGGCATGTGCCTTCCAAATAAGATCCAGGGGTGGAATATGCGGTAGGATCTTTGGAATTGTATGCGGTATGCTTGTTGGGTCAAGTAAATGCCATCTATGGACCTTGTGAAGAAATTCAGAAGCCAATAGTACATGTACTTCCTCAGTTCTAAATTGTAAGTCATTATGTTTTTTCTAGATGCATAGCTTTTGCTACGTACCTAGATATACATTATGTCTAGATCTATATAAAATCTACGTATCTAGAAAAGCTAGAAAGACTTATAGTTTGAAACAGATGGAGTACATCACAATAGGGGTGAAATAGGAAGTAAATATTAATATAAAATATGTGAAATAGTTTGCAGAAAAATATGCCAAGGTCAGTTCAGAAAATACAAGGGATTTCACACTAAAGCTTGTGCCAAGGGTTCACTTAACAAAAGTCCCACTCCTAACAACCAAAGTTAAAAAAAAACCAAATACTATTTTCTCTTCATGTATAGAAAGGCAGTTCTTAGTAGTATCCGAAAACAGGTCAAAGCTGGGTTCCTCGTCCCAGGAAATCGTCCCTGTCCTAGGAATTCAGGAACAATTTCATCCCCGTCTTATGAAAACCTCTAACAAGTAGTGCACCATGTTTCTCGACCCTGTTCCTTGACCCCATGGAGCCAGGAACTTTGTGACTATGCCTAATAGCATACTGTTAAAAGATCAAGCACTGAAATTTCTATCTTGGAGACCTGTTTAATATTGAAAATAGCACATTTATAAAAGTGTGCATATATTTTTTTTTCTAGAACCAGGTAGGAGAGCCATGTGTCATTTCATTAAGATGAAAGCCAAATGTACAACACCAAACAGGCTATACACCCAAAATCCAGACCCCCTAGAACACTGAGGTCAAAGACGACACCATCAAATAGATCAGATGACCAAAAGGCAAGGACACAGACAAGAAAAGGCTCTGGAGGCCATGAGTCCCAGCCTTGCACCATAGAACTCCCTCCGCTTCTACTGTCCGCACTACCAAGGATATGTTCAAGGTATCATTGTTGAAACCGCAATCATTAGTGTTTCCTTATTTCCCATGTTACTAAAATGATCAAAGATTCGAGGCCTTCTCGGTGCTCTTTATCCACTCTCTTGATAACCCGGTTCAACCAGCCAGAGTAGTGGCATCATGTTGTGGTGTTAGAGCCTGCAGGCTAATTCTCTGGAATACAGTAAGCTATACTGTACTTGCAACCACACAGATCAACAGATGGTTGATAGTTTCAGGAGATAGGTCACAAAGTGGGCAATACGCCAGAAATGGCAATCCCCCCTTTGCCAATCTGTCTGCAGTCCAACAACGGTTCAGTACTGCAAGCCATATGAAAAATTACACCATAGAGGAGCCCATGACATCCAAATCCTTTTTGAAGTTGCAAATCTAATAGGTCCAAGAAACAAAAAGTTCCGCTCCTGTTTTGAACAATACTTTCTTCAAACCAAGTATTGTCTTCTTTTAGCTAGTACATCTATTTTTTTTCCTAAAACAATTCATCAACAAATTTCCTACAAAGGATGCTTGCTAAGAGTTGCCACTTCTTCAGTATGACCACTGCACAGAAGAAACACGACCAGCTAAATCTAGAGCAAGAAAACAGGCACATTGTGTTCAAGTAATCTTGTTAGGGTGTAACACAATAACTTGCTTCAAGGTAGGGTTGGAAATTGTAAGTCGAACAAAAAAATGTTGATTATTCAATTCTTTCAACATCTGAATCTGCATTCCATTTCTTTACATCAAATTTTGAAGAAACAATTTTTTCTGTGATTCTCTCTCGAAGAGCAGGCATGGTTGTTCGAGAAAAAAGAGCAGGCATGGTGATGCACAACGAAAACAAAGTTTCTTCTGCATTGAATATAGCTGTTATACTAGAGCACAAGTTGTGTGGTACCATACACATCAACCTATACTAACTCGTACAAAATTTGATGTCTTAATGACCCTAGTAGAATACTGGTTTTAAATTTTAGATCCCAAAGAAATAACATCAACCATCCCCTGATGCCTACGTTAATATTGTCCTGGAGTACAGAGTACTAGATTTACACTTCAGGTAAAAGGGAAGAATACCATCAAGGCATCAACCAAATTATCATCTGAAGTCTAAAGTAACCATTTTTCTGCAACACGAGGCATCAGAAAACAGAAACCAAACAACACAAATATTTGTGCTTACCTGTTTTGTTCAACTCCCTCTCTTCCTCGCCAATCCTTCGCCTCAAAGCATTCAATAATGAGCCAAGGTAAAGAGCTAAGACAGTGCATGTGAAGGTGATGACAATGTATGGCATGCTGAAATCAGGAGTTGTCAGGGGAACGAGCAATACTTCTGTATACGACTTCACAACACTATCTTCCGGCAGAACACAGAGATATTGGCATACTGCAATGATAATGAAGCACAAATACTTATATTCATGTATGGCAAGGAAATCAGCTAGTACTAGACAACTGATCAGTTCAATGACATCTCTGAGGGTGTACCTGGAAATTTTGTAGTAAAGGAGATCCAAGTACTGGATCAATTTCAGGGTAACTTCGAGCAGAACTGAACTCAGGAAAGCTAACCAAAGCTGAAGGAATGTCAAATCCTTGATTAGCATCAGGAGGATATTCATCTATATGCAGGAATCCCTGAAAATTCATGTGCAGTTAACATTGTGACAAACTAAAACTGCAATGTTTATTTCTGGACGTCATTGCATTAAGACTGCTCAAGGGCCAAATAACAAATGAAGATTCAGGCAGAAGGACCAATTGAGAAATATGTGAAATTCTGCCCAATGGGAAGGTAAAAGTAACTTAAGCAGTAGAGCATACCTTGTCAAAATCCATTGTCAGAGTACCCGGCTGCATACTGCAAGGGAATCTTAGTAGCATCTCCAGGGTACCAGGCAAAAGCTTGTCTTCGAAGGAGTGACATGAATCTTTTCAACTACTTCGACACAGTCTTCCCTCCCATCTATAAATATTTCTAGGCTGTGATAATAGACCTTAACATACCATGGAACAACCTCGGAAAATAAGCGCCTTTATTGAACAATCGGTTAATGCCATTTACGCTTATGAAGATTAATGGACATAAAAGACAGAGCAATTGACCCTCTTTCATTTCCACTGCCTATAAGAAATCTATTTGCATGAAAAGGTGATGGGGTGCAAGTCCATATCAGGGGAAGCTTCCATGTTATGCCTACATCCAAAGGTTTTTAGCATCATATTCATATAAAAAAAGAAGATTGAATTTCTATGTGATTTTGGCCTTTGATCAACTTGTCTAGGATATTAGACAATACAAAGAATTCATTATTCAAAGAAAGATCACTTCCAGATTTGTGAACTTTGTCAACAATGCCTTTATCAACCTCAATGAATATTCTGCTGGATTTAGAAACAAGGCATTTGCCTGACAACTTTCTGTTGAAAAGATGTCTCATGGACCAGTTGGGCTGAAGTTGACCATGATTGGAATGTAGCTGTTCGCCACTTACAGTATTTGGTTGCAGCACAACAGTCAAAGTTTGATCAAGAATAATACAAAGTGACTTGGAGGATCTCAGTTTCAGTTTTTGCGAATGGTAATATCCTTTGTAAATTGAAGGCCTGTACAGCAAAGAAGCTATCCCAGCTTTGTCACGACATGGAAGAAGTTTCAACCAAGGTGTCAGATTCTCAATGCACATTGCTTCATGAGGCAATGTACCACATCGCAAATTGCCTTCATTCAATTCAAATCGGAGCAGAAAATGCAGTGGAGGACTCGTAATTTGGGGATGTACTGTTCCAAGATTTAATATAAGTCCCCCTTTCATTCAAAAAAAAAAGCCCACAATTCAACACCAGGAGGCTTTGCATTATTAGTTGACATAGGATCAAATCCACCCCACTGCTCATAGTTCCATCTTCCCTGGGTGAAAGATAGCTCCGACTTGCTAATATGATATTTTGTTAACCTGGTCTTGACAAAGCAGACTAATGTTAATAGAGGTTCTCGGTCATTCATAAAATGTGGCAGCATATAAGAAATGGAGGGCCCTTTCTTCAGCGCCCTGTTGGCTGTTGTGACTTACAAGTGTAAACAAGGCATAGCTTATTACATTTACATGTAAACCTAATAGTCAACAAAAGAATACAGGGTAAATTTCTCAAATCCACCAACATTTGGGGCTAATAGGCACAAACCCACCAACTACTGTACCCATTTTAGAGACCCCCCATCACTAAGGGCCACTGACTTGTTTTCTTACAAAGTACAAACCCACCATTTTTTTCTTCAAACCGTGCGTGGAAGAGAGAGGGACAAGAGAGAGGTGGCAGCAGAGAGAGAGAGAGAGGGGGGGGAGGGATAAAAGGGTTTAACCCTAACCTTACTTGTCTTCTATTGATAATTCTTCCTCATATATAAGGGGGTTTACAACAATAATGGGCCTAAGCCCATAATCCTTGTCTACATAGGGTCCGTTCGCTGGTCTGGTCCGGCAGACCAGCCGGCTGCTCCTCCTCACAAAGCACTGTACATCTTCCCTCCGCTACAGTATTTCTCCCTCACAACAACCAGCCACTACAATGTTTTGGCTTCTTTTTTCAGACAAGTGAACGGGGCCATATTCTAATCTAATTCTATTATAGCTGGGCCTTGGCCTCTCCATATTTAATCATTTTATTAGCCACTTTGGCGTCGTCTCCTGCTATAAGTCTTGCCCAAGATGACAAATGAACTTGAAGCAACAAAGAAAGCGATATTGCAGAACGGGAATTAGGGCAATAAATTTGTTCATTCGTATTTCCGTTGCATTGGTGCCCCTATTTATAGTTGATGCGGGAGCTGACGTTCAAATTAGGATTACATTGTAGTACAGAAGGATATCCCGAACATATCCAGGGGCTTTCTGGTCCTTGGGCGCCTTGGATCCAACCATTCCCTGGGACCAGCTAGACCCCCATGGCGCCTCGGGGGTCTTCTCTCCCTGTCGATCAGGTCAATTGGATCGGGGTAGCAGACATAGACGTATGAAGGTCACCTCGCCACAACTATGCCGCGTTGTCTGTCGGCGGGGAGTCCTACCTTTGACATAAAGTAGCCTTTGGGTCACATTGCTCCCCAACACCACCACTTTAGCTAAACCAAACATCACCCTAATGTTTTTACTGATATTTTTTGGCATGTCATCTAAGGGTAATGTATGTTGTACTCCCTCAGTTGCAAATTATAAGAATTTTTGGCTTTTCTAGATATATTACTTTTATTACGTATCTAGACATAGTGTACATTTAAGTATATAGCAAAAGCTACGTATCTAGAAAAGCCAAAACTTTTTATAATTTAAAATAGAGGGAGTGGCAAATAGGGGTTCATTGTAAAAACCACTGTACGTGCTATTGGTGTTTCAATGGTATTTTGCACAAATGTGGTACAAAAGGAAATACTAACTCTGTACCTAAAAGAATATTATTCTAGGTTTAGACTGAGTTTGACTAAGTTTATATAAAACTGTTGACACACAAAATTGATCAAAGATAAGGATGAGGCAGGAAAGTCGGCCTAGCTAACTTAGAGGTCGGCTTAGCCGACTTTTGCACTATTCATGGACTGACAAGCCCAAAAAGTTGGCTAAGCCTATCTCCAAGCAAGCAAAGACTTTTGGTGAGGTGAAGTTATTAAAGTGCAAATTAAACGTCACTATTGCGTTATTACTCTTGCTGAGATGATTAAAAAACATATATACAAAAGACTTGACTAGGAAGAGAGATGTCCCCCCTGATTTTGTCCTTAAGAGTTTGTGCTAACTTTCAAACTTGACAGGGGTTTCTTGATCATCAGACTTCAATGGTCCAACCAGTGTAACTCTCTAGAGAAGTTGCCTAAAAACATATATAGATCATCGAATTTGGAGTCCGAATGAGAGAGTTATGGTCCCCAAGAAAACTCCACTAGAAATGTTGGGATAACCGACCTTAAAAGTTGGGATAGCCAACTTTGCCAGGGAATGTTGGCCGATTTCAGTTAGGCTAAGCCGATTTTTGCGGGTTCCGAATCCAAAACTAGGAAACTTATGGATTTTGATGTGGGAAGTTCTTCTCATGGGATAATACCATCCCCATCTTTATATGATAGGGATCATGACCGATTGAGGTACCCAATACACAAACAAACAGTAAACTAATCTACCTCTACAGCTCTACCTCTCTTTTTGCCCTAATCTCTTTGGACATTGATGTTGTTGTACATCTCTTAATCGTATAATCAAGGATGATGCCCTAGGCTTGCTGGCCGACCTAGGGCAACCCATCAACGTCCTTGCCCTGATGGGGTCTCTCTCGAGCGGGAGTTTCCATGGCTCCTTTGCTAGTTTGTCAGCTATTCTTCGTCATGTAAGTGCGATAAATTATCCTTAGCACGGTTTGCTCGTAAATATTGCCATTCTTCACTAGGTAAGCATGATAGCTACCATTCCCTAGGCAAGACCTAGGGAATATCATATATGCCTAGAGCAGGTTGGCTAAGCCAACTATACAAGTTGGCTGTCACATCCGATTTTAAGTATAGAATTGACTGCAAATCATATGCATGACAGGATCAGTTTATTCATACATATGATAACTATCATAGCAACGTTGCTTACATAATGAAAACATTATTACAAAAAATGACTCGTGGGTCTAAAAAAAAATCTCATCAATTGCTTGTGGAAGGGGACTCCATCTGCACAGGAAGGTTGACTGAGGCAACACCAGCCTAGAATAGGTCGTCGGGGTCAAAGTCACCATCTTCAGCATACTCCTCCTCTTCTTCTCCAACATCTATGGGGGAGTAGGGGGACAAAGAGAAAGGGTGAGTACATCGAAATATACTCCGCAAGTGTGGGAAAAATATGACATGAGGCTTATAGCAAGGTTAGGCTTATACAGGTTCACATAGCACTTAAGCGACACATCTATTACCTTAAACGTTAAGCACCTATTTATCTAGGTGAGATTCAGCCTTCTCCTCAGAGGACCAAACCAATACTTGGATTCATCCAAGCTCCCAACTAAACCAGCCATTCCCTTACCAAGGAAACCACACAACCGAACTAGAGCCATCTAATCCTAAAGAAGTCCAAGCTGCTCTTGACCGTGAGCATGCCTGATATACCAGTTTTACACTCTGTAGAGGTTGCACACTTTCACCACGAGTCGTGTCTCCCATTTGATCAACGTGATCAGCCTCTTAACCCACTTCCAAGGTAGATCGACAGGGTTTCACTACAAGGCCTTTACAGAGAGTCCTCCCATATGTATTAGTTCTCATAGAGCATGCATGGAAGCACTCTCCCGTTACCTAGGACTAGGCAAACCTCAGAGCAAACTCCCATACCAAAGCCTTCTCCTGTACCCATGTCACCATGAGACTAATATCCACACAGGGATCCTTGAATTAATTAGCCAAGTCCAGCCCACCCAGCCTCATGGTTGCGCTGTTAAGCTGGGTTACAGGCTTTGAGAGCCGGTCCTTAGAATCTAGAGTAGGTACGAGCACCAACCCAAGGAACCCCATTATGTAACCATACCAATCCATCCATCCTGCCTAGATTCCTAGTCACAATGTTGCTAAAAAAGATTACCATCCCATGGTCCATAGATCATTAATCAATATTAAATTATAACCTTCCCAGCCCAAGACTACAAGCTAAGCACTGACTTCTACCCATCCAAACTGGGTTTCAAGGATGATATAATCAAAGACTAGTAAACCCTAACACAGGATTCAATTTTGACTCAGCATGTAACTAAGTTCTAACTAAACTAATAAAATAAAATAAATACATGGGCAAGTATGGTCAAGGACACTTGTCTTCAAACTGGGTTTGTTGGGGGATATCAAATTCCTGGTCTTGGAAGTTCTCGTATTGACCACGTTTTGTAATCGATACAACAAACATGGCCCACAAAACATAATAAGAACAGTACACCAAACATTGTAAAAACATATTATAAAGTTTATTAATGTGTAGTACTCGTCGTTATGAACTCGTGAGCAAAAGAACCACCAAAAACAACGCGGTTTGAAAGTTATGAGCTTTTGAAGTTAGATGGCATTTCTGTAAATAAAAGGATTCATTTTTGTAATTTAAATAAATAAGACTAAAAAAGGAAAAGGGTTTGGACTGTAGGTTGATTAAGATAAAGATCGAGGGCTGTTATGCAAAAAGGGCATGATCGGTCGGTGCTGACCGTGTCGTTGCTGACGTGTGCACCACACGGTGTGAACCGATTGGCTCGGTGGCTGTGGACGCGAGAGTGCATGCGCTATGGACTAAGTCCATGGTACACCATGGACACATTACACCCTAAAGGGGGGGTCTGTCCACTCAGGACTTAGGAGGAAGCCCTCGGAGGTGGCGCCATGATCGCTGGCATGGGGAGTTCATCGGAAAATGACGAACCGACGCTCTAGACCATGATGGGGATATCGTCGATGGTGATGGCACGAAGAGGCAGGGAGTCGGGGAGAGGTAGTCGGCAACTCCGGTGAGGTCAAGGAGTCGCTGCTATGGCCTTGGATCGATGCCGAGAAGCAGTGGTGAGGCCTCATAGAGCCGCTACAAACCCAACAGAGGTGGAAGTAGGCTCGGAGGTGGCCTATGCGGGGAGATTGGAAGCTCGAGCCGAAGGTCACTAATGGTGTTAGCGGCGGCGAATG